AAAAATTTAATTTTATATTTAAAATATTATATCAATTCTTATTTATATTAAATTTATTTGATTTTAATTTGAAATTAATTCTTTTTATATTATATTTTGATTTAAACAATATTTTGACATGATTTTTTTTAAAAAAAAAAATTAATAATATATTTTTATTAAAATATGGGCTATATAGAGTTAAATTATGTTTGAAATAAGACAATCTAAGATATGTTTATTTGAAGGTTTGAACTTTGAATATGAATTTTAAAAAATACTCCCTCCGTCCAATTTATATTGTCGTAAAGTATATTTACACGGTTTTTTAGGTAATTGTCTTTTTGTTATGAATTGACAAATTTGCCCTTAATTGTATGATAGAGATTAAAAGTAATAAATGAATGAAGGGTAAAAATGTAAAATTTGTGTTTAAAAAAGGAAATAGGACAATAGTTATTTGATGTCCCAAATAGGAAAGTAGGACATTAGTTTGTGGACGGAGGGAATAATATTTTGATGTGACATGTTATAAGAGAACTAGCGTATTTTTATTGAGAGTCCGGACTAAATAATACTCTCTCCGTCCCATATTTATATATCTATTTATTTTTTGCATGAAGTTTTATAAATATTAGTATTATGTTGGCTTAAAGTAGAAATAAAGGTAAAAAGACTAAATTAACCTTATTAGTACTGTATGATATAAAGATAATGACATTTGTGTAATATTGTAAATTGGAAGGATATTTGTAATGTTATGTAGATAGTACAATTACTAAAAAATGAAATTGATACTTTGTTATGGGACGAACCAAAATAGAAAAATGAATAGATTGGAGTTTGAATTGTGCTTGAATCAAGACAAACTAAAATGTTTTTATTTGAATGTTTGAATTTTAATTGTTATTTGATTATGATATATGTGATTGTTTGGGATTACAACAAAATTTAATATTCATTAATTTTTTTCAAGAAATATTAAATTAAACATATCACACTATACGAAGACACACAATATGTAAATGATGTTAATATAATATAAACATAGTCCATGGCATAGTTCTACATTACATAATACAATACAACAAGTAGCGGCTATGGATTCTCACATCATTATAAAAAAAAAAAAAAGCCAATACAAGATATAAACACAAACAATACATAAATCCCCTAAGATCAGGCATCGGCTGAATAAGTATAAATTAATTATACATAATTATTTTAATTTTATTAATTATGTGTATTAATTAAATTTAATTAGTTTTTAAGCATTCATCAAAAGTGCTGAATTAAAACTATTGAGCATTTAATCCGTGTTGCATATTAATTATGTTTACACAACATATGATATACTATCACATAATATATTTTACAATTGATTTAATTACTAAAAATATATTAATATAGTACACATATTTTTTTTATTTAACAGAGTACATATAATGTTAAATAATATTTGCTTAGTGAGAAAATCAATATGTTGTTAATTTATTCGGTAACATCACAACCATCCTAAACAAATAAATATAAATTTCATTCGTTTTTATCCCTCAAATTTTATTATTTGAAATTGATATTGTTAAAAAAATATATATATATATATATTTCTCCAAAAATATAATTGTAGACAAAAAAAAAAAATTGTATTGATTTTGTAAATACAAAAATTTTTAGAAATTACATTTATGTAATACGGGTCTTATTCTCTATTTGGGTGTTTCGATTCTCTTTCCGAATCGATTCATTTGTTCAACTTGGATTTGGGTGACTTTTGTTTGTCTGAAATGATTTAGTCTTCGGTTTCACTTTATCGGATCTTTGGATGACTTTGGTCTCTGCTTGGACAAATTTGATTATCGACTTTGAATTTGAAGACTCCTTTTAGTGAATTTGGGGCTTTGATCTTTGTAGAGGAGTATTTGGTCTTCATAATGCTTTTGACGACGTATTCCTTTGACTTTTGGATCAAAAATAATCGGGTTGATGCTTTTAGTGAAGCACACAACAAACGCTTTGAAATTTTGGGATAAATTTTGAAGACTTTCCCCTTACCTTTTACGGATTCTTCAACGCTTTTTGGAACAAGATATTTCATCCGATTGGACATACGACGAAAAATATTAACTTAATCGATTTGTCGGCAAATATTAGATCATTTGTCCAAATCAGTCTTTTCGACGAAGAATGTTTCGAAGGACACGAAGAACAATGAAGAGAGTACGGAGAAATTTACCTTTGCACGATCTTCAAAATAAACTTTGGTGTCTAATAAATTAGCCAAGACCTCTATTTATAGGAGAATGGTAGCCTTAGCTTCGTTTTCAGATTGTGTCATATGGCGTATTCCGATTGGCCAATAAGAAGATTTTGTAATCCTTCATTTCTCGTCGGATGAATGTCTTTCTTTCTTGTCAATATTTTTATATCGTTTCCTCTCTCATAAAATATTAATTATAATATTTCATTATTGACAAAATTTATTTAGTTTATTGTCAAATCTATTATGGTCATATATATATATAATATTTGCATGATATCTTCCATTTTAAACAGATTTTGCACTAATTGTTGATATTTATTGTACACAAAATAATATATATATATAATTAAATACCATATATTTAATATTGAAATCTTATTTCCTCCCAAAAATATATGATATTAATTTAATTTAGGCATTTATTTTTTATTTACTACAATTTACCTTTTTTTTATACTATGCAACCATTAAAATTAATACCACAACTAAACAAATTCAATAAAATAATATTATTTTTTAAAATTATTAAAGAAAAATACTTTCTCCTTTTCATAACAATTAACACACTTTTTATTTTTCTCTATCACATAATAATTCATACTTTTCTATTTTAGGTCAAACTTACTAGATCAAAACATACTTAACAAATATAAATCAATTTAATTAATTAAATAACATATAACATCATATATCATCCATGACCAACTCAAAACTCTTTACTTTTATCTCTCTCCTAAGAAAATAAATATTTATTTTATATTTAAAACTTCACATCATTTATAAAATTAATTTATATTAATTATAAATAAAAATATATTTTTTATTTACTTGCATTAGAAAATTTTATTCTCTACAAAATAATAATATTATCATTTTTTATTGTGATATAATATTTAAAATATTTAAATACATGTTCTAATTTTTTAAATCATATATATATTAAATTTATTTTAAAACTATCAATAGTATTAACTACACTAAAATTAATAAAATAATATTATAACTCATTATTATTAATTAATTAAACATCATTATCATTCGAATTTCAAAATCCAAACAAAAAACATTCTATACAAAAGATTGTTTACACTTGGTGTTTTTTCGGTATATGTATTTTTTTATGTTAAATATAATAGTAATATGAATAAGGCGAAATAACATAAAACTTGTATGTAGTTTTCAGAATTTGCTAAAAAATCTGGTTTTAAAATTTCATATTACCTACTCATGGTTTAAAAATATTGCATAAAAAATCTTTTATGTTAGTGCTTAATGACAATTGCAATTTACGCACCTAAATACAACTAATCTTCAGGTCGTACTTGAACATTTTACCGCAGTAACAGTAAAGTTTATTGTTCTGCTCGATCGTGCTCATCTCAACAAGTGAAGTACTAACTAACGGTCATACTCTCATTTATCAACCTTTGTACTTTGGGAACGTGAATTGTAATCGTCATTAAGTACTAAAGAAAATTGTTTTCTATGCAGTATTTTGGGAACCACAACCACAAGTAAGTGATATGAAATATTAGGATCAGATGAAATTTTCAGCAAATTTCGAAAACCACACGAGGGTTTTATATTATTTTACCTATAACAAAATAAAATTTTTGGTTGAACATTGATTTTTTTTGTGAATAGATGAAATATATATATATATCTATTGTGTTTGTGTGCAGATAATACTATACTTTGTTCGTCCCACATATAATGTTATATTTTTTATTTATGTTTGTTCCACGTCTTATGTCATGTTTTTAAAAATAATATATATTAATAATATATTAAAATTTATAATTTATTGATTTTAATTAGATTAATTAATTATTTTAATCTTAATTTATAATTAATTTTATTATATTATAATTATTTTTTAATTATTTATTAATAATATCTTCCTAAATTGTCATGTATACCGTAAAATTATACTCTCCCGTCATAGACATTGTTGGAAGGTTGACACGAAAATTTATGATCTATATGATTAGTAAATAATTAAAAATATATTAATAAAATTAAGATTAAGATAACTAATTATTTTGATAAATATCTAAGTTTGTTTTTGTTTGGGAGTTTGGATATTGAGTTGAGATTTGAATAGTAAAAATTTTGAATTTGAATAGTTATATGATGTGATATAAATAGGTGTCTAGCTGATGTTTTGAATGTAAAATTGATTTTCAGTATAATATAAAAAAAATAAAAAATAAATGTTTGATTTGATATTTTTTAGGTGAAAAAATATAATGAATAATGTATTTAAAACTCAATCCTCCAAACAAACACACCCTAAAAAAAATATAAATAATAAAAATTAAAATGTATAATTTTTATTTTTTAAAAAAAGTAACATAATATGTCAAACAACAATAATGAAAAAAATAGATATTATATATAGGCAGAAGAAGTATTAAAGACGAGGGAGTAATATTTTTAATAATATTTGTGGAAGTAATGTCTATGGCACCATTAAAATTTCTTTCTCTGAACTAACATGTAAGCCGAACATTGCTGCTTTGAGCAATTCGCTGCGGTCTAGGCTGCAGGTGCAGGTGCAGGTGCAGGCTGCGTGTGGAAATCGCTCGCCATAGCTATGGAATATTGGATCCTACGCAAGGTAAGCTCAATTACTCACTCTACTTAATTCTACTACTCATTCTGCAACTGCAGATTCATTCTATAAATTCTGTATTCGCTGTTGGTATCGATTAAATTAATTCACTAGCTCACTTTTTCCTTCACTAATTAAACGGCGATGGCGTCTCTCGTCTGGCTACTGAGAGCAGCCTGGATTTCGTTGATTCTTCCTTTCCTAATCGCATCGATTCCGTCGCCAATCAGCGATTCGTTTCACAACCGTTTTGTTGAACTCATCAAGCGAGGAAAGGTTGCGCAGTCTTCGTCAAAAGTGAGCGATTAAAATTATTTAAGGATTTTGCGTACGTATGGTGGATTTACTGTTCCTTTGAGCGTTTTTTTTTTATTGATATGGTATATATAATTACCGATTGATGCAGAGATTTAGTGTTCCTTTGAAATATTTTGGGCATTTTTACCTGTGGGCGGTTATATGGACTACATGCTTGCTTGTTGCGACATGGATGTACGGCTGCCATTTGAGCGGCGGCGGAGGAGGAGGAGTTTCAGATGAGGTATGGAAATCGGTGTTTCTGCTTGTTCTGTTGGAGATTCAGGTGGTTCGACGCCTCTACGAGAGTTTCTTTGTGCTCAAGTATCGTCCCTCTGCCAAATTGCACCTCTTCGGTTACATCATTGGTTATTTGTGAGTGCCTGCTTATTTAACTTTGTTGTTAGTGGTGCTTTTTTTTTTTTTTTTTTTCAAAATCAAATATTTATTTTTTATATTTTTTATCTTATACTAAAAATTAATTTTATATTCAAAATATTGTATCAATCTTTATTTATATCATATCATACAACTATTCAAATTCAAATTTTTTACTATTTAAATCTCAGTTCAAAATCCAAACTACTAGACAAACACACCTTTCTTGTTTTGGTTCAGTCGTGCGGTTTTAGTCCAAAATATTTAATTTTTTTATTATTTGAACAATATTTTGTTAAGAAAATATATTTTTCTTTTTTACAAATATCTCATCAAATATTATTTTAATATTAAATTCAAATTAAATTTTTTCATATCAATCAACAAAATACACACTTAGGGTGTGTTTGTTTGGGGGATTTAATAAGATTTCTACTATTCATCCAATTTTTTCCCCCAAAAAACATCAAATCAAACACCTATTTTTCATTTTTTATATTATACTAAAAATCAATTTTACATTCAAAACATCACATCAACACCTATTTATATCACATCATACAACTATTCAAATTCAAAATTTTTCCTATTCAAATCCTAACTCAAAATCCAAATCCCCAAACAAACACACCCTTAATGTATTTTATATGTATATATAAGTTATAAAAAAATCGAATTGGTAATATAAAAAAATAAATCATATTAATTTCAATATAATCAAAATATATCAATTTTTATTATAATATATATATATATATATATAAAAACGCATTAATTTTAGACAATGAAAATTGACAACTTGTGTGACAACTGATCTTGACAAAGGGTGTGTTTGTTTGAAGGATTTTGAAGGATTTCTACTATTCATCCAATTTTTTCCCCCCAAAAACATCACATCAAACACCTATTTTTCATTTTTTATATTATACTAAAAATCAATTTTACATTCAAAACATCACATCAAACCCTATTTATATCACATCATACAACTATTCAAATTCAAAATTTTTACTATTCAAATCCCAATCCAAAATCCAAACCCCCAAACAAACACACCCATTCTATTTTACACAGACGCATATATACATACATCTAAGTATCGTAATTGTGTTAGAAAACAGACTTAGTGCAATAAAATAAGGTTGTGTTTCTTTCTATTTTCATTTATAATTTTGTTTTTATATTTCTTAAATCAAAATTCTAGATAAACACACTCTTAATTTAATTTTTTATTTAAATTTAAATTTTCAGATATATTTGAAAATTTGTATTGCCTTGGGTTATTATATATTTGATTATCTATTAAATAAAGTCTTACAAGCTGTGTTTCTTATAACAAAGTGATTTCAAATTTTATAATTTGAATTTTGTATTTCTATATCTTTTTTTTTTTCGAACAAAATATCTCATGAAATATGGTTTATTCACTTTTTTATTTTTAAATGTAATTATTTTTATTATTAGATATAAAAAATTGTGTTAGTAACATATAAAAAAAAAATTGTATTTAATTGTTTATTACAAAAATCTATAATATATTGTGTTAACGTGTCTATATTATATTTTTTAATAATATATATTAATAAGGGAAAAAATCAATTTTGGTCCCAATATAATCAAAATTTATCAATTTTGATCCAAATATAAAAAAAAAACTCATCAACTTTAGTCTCATTATAAATAATTTCAATCAATTTTGGTTTCACCGTTAAAAAACTAACGGAAATTGCTGACGTGAACGTAACGGAGGTGACGTGGCAGTTGATCTGAAAACTACACGGTCATGTTGTTACACGGCTATGTATATTTTAATGTATAATTATACATGGTCATATTGTTACTCGACCATATATAATTCTACACGTCTGTATACATTTCTGTTTTGGTTTAAAATTTTATTTTTTTTGTTATATTTTTTTTTAAAAAAATAATATTTTAATTTAGAATAGTTAATACAGTTAAAATGCAAAAAAATCAATAATAATCATAATATAATTAAAATGTATCAATTTTAGTTCAAATATAAATATTTATGGAGTATGTTCTTTTGGAAAATTTTGTCTAAAGTTCTACTATTTATGAATTTATTCTCTTAAAAACATTCAATTGCACAACTGTTATTTATTTTTGTATATTATAGTATTCAAAATTAATTTTACACTTCAATACAATTTCAATATAGACATATATAATTGTATTGAAATAATAAATTAATTTTTAATACTACTATAATATACAAAAATAAAAATAAAAATAGTTGTGTAAATGGATGTTTGTAAGAAGATATTTTTTATCAATAATAGAATTTTCAACAAAACCTTTCAAAAAAATATATGTTATAAATTTTTATATTTGAATTAAAATTAATACATTTTAATTATATTAGGATTATTATTGATTTTTTTCCATTTTAACTATATCAACTATTTTAAATTGAAAATATTTCTTTTAAAAAATATATATATAACAAAAAAAAAATTAAATTTTAGACCAAAACAGAAAAAAACACGGCCGTGTATAATTATACATGACCATGTTGAACATGGTCATGTATAATTATACATGTAACAACATGGTCGTGTATAATTTTACATGGTCATGTAGTTTTCTGCCACATCACCTATATTACGTCTATATCAGTAATTTCCATTAATTTTTTAACAAATGGACCAAAATTGATTGATATTATTTATAATAGGACTAAAATTGATGAATTTTTTATATTGAGACTAAAATTAATAAACTTTAGTTATATTAGGACCAAAATTAATTTTTTTCCTATTAATAATTTCACTTAAAAATGCTAAGTGAATAAACACATTATTTAAATACAAAATTTAACCAAATCTTTTCAAACCAAACATAAAAGAAATATAATGACCTAAAGGAATACAATTTTCCAAATTTATCTTAAAATTTAAATTTAATTCAAAACTAAACTAAGAGTGTGTTTGTTTGGAGTTTTGTTTTATATAATAATAATAAAAAAATTATAGTCATAACAGAACAAAATACGACCATATTCTAACACCATCTTAGTACATGGTTGTATATATGTACACAGTCGTGTAAAATGGAATACGGTCATATTTTTTCCAAATCAGTTGCGACATCGATCATTTTACATCTATGTTGACAATTTTCGTTGATTTTGGAATGTTGAGACCAAAATGGATTAAAATTATTTATAATAGAACTAAAATTGACGAGTTTTTTATATTTAATACTCCCTCTGTCCAAGCTAAAAGTATACATTTACTTTTTGCGCAGAGATTAAGGAATAATAGTATTTTAATTACAGTGTATAGGCAAAAGTAGTGAAATGATATTTTTGCCCTTATTTTTTGTAATAAAAGTAATAATGTGATGTAAAGTAAAGATATTTGTGAAAAAATAGGGTATTTATCTTTCTTTTTTTTTTCGCTGCGATTCTAAAATAATATAATATTTTATGAGAGAATAAAGTAGATTATATATATTTCAATTTAAAATTTTACTATTTAAAATCAAAATCCACAAAAGTATTTGATGTGATGGGTTTATGAAAATATATATATTTAATGATATTTAAAAAAAAAAGAAAAAAAAATCGAGTAATGCCAAAATTCTAAAAATATTGTGTACATATAAAAGAGAAAAAAAGTTGAGTATTTTATAATATAATATTTTATAAAATTAAATAAATATTTAATGTACTAATTTTTTATTTTTTATTTGTAAAAAATGTATTAATGTCAAAACTTTGAAAAGTATATATGAACACAGTATATTAACTTCATAATATAGAATCCTATTTAAAATTTTAAGTTTTCTTTAGTAATATTTTTTATTATCTTGAGAAAGTTTTGAACGGGTAATAGGCACTGAACGAACATTATAATATTTTCAATATAATATTTAAACTAAAAGATAGAGAGAAAGTTATCAATTATTACTTTTATTTTTTATTTATCTCGCTGAAAAATATATTATATATATCTGCAAAAATTCTCATTTATTTCCTTTGACCGCCTGATGTGCTACCCCACAAGTGGCCCAAGGACATAAATGTCAACTTTTTAATAAAAATATGATGATATAAATACAAGGAAATACAAAATAAACACAACTTACCTTATAAATATATATATAAAAAATGTTCGCAAAATTTTCTTTGCACTTAGTTTGAATTTTTTATTTAAATAATATTTTAATATAATTCTCCCTCTTTTGTCTTTAAGATCACTTTTTTTTTTTGCGTTATTGTACTTAATATTAAAAATATTTTTATATTTGTATATATACAATTTTATTTTTTTTTTACAAATGTCATTCTATTTATATTATAAAATACTAATTGAAGTATTTCTAAAAAATTTTCGCAAAAAATAAATGAAACCTTTAAAACCGAATATAAGTAATATTTTATTAAACTTCGGAAAGCAAACCCTTATGTATCCTATTGTAGGAATCCATCTACGTACCTTTTGTTATGATCTCAAGCACAAAAAGAGCATTGTGAAATTTACAAATGCTTCATTCATTCATTCATTAATCTCCCTCTCTTGTAATAGTTTCTATACAGCAGCTGGTCTATCCCTCTGTGCCGAGCATGTCCCGGAGCTGTTTCGATTCGTATCGAATTTGCACGAGGAAGGACTGCGCACCTTCAAATTTGATCCATCCCGGCTTATCGATGCTCTTATTGGATTCAAATGGTATATGTGGCTCGGCGCAGCCATTTTCTCGTGGGGTTGGATTCATCAGCGCAACATTCATGCCATTCTTGTAAGTATACTAATTTCATAATTCAACACAATGCTGATAGCACTGCAGATAATGATAAAAGCTTATTTTATATGTACTGATAGCATCAGGGGTGTGCATTCGGTCGGTTCAGTTCAAATCGAACCGAACTTTCAATTTTGATTGGTTTTCGGTTTATAAAAATTGAAATCGAAACCGAACCAAAGTTTTTCAAAATCAAGTAAACCGAACCAAACTAGTTCGGTTTGGTTTAAAACCGAATAAACAGAACTTTTATTTATTAATATATATTTTTAATATACAATCAAATATAAATACTCAAAATTATAATTATATACTCTCTCCTTCCAGTTAGAAAGTATACATGTTTCTATTTTGGGACGTGCAATTAAAAAGTAACCATTTCATTAAATACCCCATTTTTTTCATAAATACCCCTACTTTACATCACATCATTACTTTTATATCAAAAAAATAAAGGCAAAAATGTCATTTCACTACTTTTACCTACCCAAAATATTATTCAAATCATAATTATTTTTATTATATAATTTATTATTATTTTTAAAAGTTCTGTTTTTTCGATTAACCAAAATTAAAATTAAAAATCATAACCGAATCGAAATCGAAATTTATAAATTCGATTTTGGATCGAACCGAACCAATTAACCAAACAATCCAAATCAAACAGTCCGAACCGAAAAAAAATTCAATTTTTTTCAATTTGAACCGACCAATACTCACTTCTAAATAGCATGGTGCTAATTTGTCCAACTCGGCACCATAACTATCCTCAAGAACATACAATCCCCAATTTATTGTTCGAATATAAAGAGTTCTTGCCCCTGGAAACCCAGGTACTTGAAGTTTCACTTCTCTTGTTTAACCAGGGCTCGTTGAGGCCGAGCAAGGAAATGATCAATCAGCACACAATTCCTCGTGGCGACTGGTTTGAGCTTGTTTCTTCTCCTCATTATTTCGCAGAAATTGTAAGTATTACAACTTTTTTTTGCGCACTCTTACGGTGCACCAACAAGGAAAGAACAAAATGGTTCAATCATCTTCGATAAACTTATATCGTGTAGGTCATATACCTCGGGCTTGTGATTGCGAGCGGATGCTTCGACCTTACAATCTGGCTTCTTTGGGATTTCGTGGTACGTAAACTCATATACAAATACGACACTTTGAGCGATGTTCGCGCACACTGACTGGTGAAATTCACTTATTGCAGGTAGCTAACCTTACCTATGCGGCAGCCGAAACACATAGGTGGTATTTAAGTAAGTTCGATGACTACCCTAAGAATCGCCGAGCTATCTTTCCTTTTGTCTACTAATTAATGCAGGACGTATCGACGTGTGATATTACATTTTTACGTAAAACTGTAACGATAATTGGATAATATAGAGAGGACAGTTCTGAATTCTGATGTATTCCTAAAGAAGAAACATTCAATTTAGCTCGACGCCTGTAGTTAAGTGATGCATTATTAATAATGCTACGAAATATGGTGTTCTTCTAATTTTAACGTACCCGGAAACACATTGGAGATTTGAAGCACGACGCCAATTTAAGCATACAAATCTATACCCCAGAACTTGGCAGGTTGGTTGGTTCGATAGTTCCGGTCAAGCTTTTTGATAAGATCCATATCTTCTTGACTGAGCTCAAAGTCGAATACTTGAAAGTTCTCCTCTAATCTCTTGATTTTCGATGACTTGGGAATGACAACTGTGTTCCGCTGGATGCCCCAGCGGAGAACAATCTGCGCCACGGTCTTGTTGTACTTTTCGGCTAAGCCCTGTTGGATTAAAAAACAAACTTTATAATTTAAAGATACACGATTACCCCAAGAAAATATACATTATCTAACAACAAAAAAAACATACAAAATGTTATTCCTTATAAAAACAGTTACAAATATAAATACTAAACAAACACGTTGTAGATACTTTGTTTGATTCTAAGGAAAGAGGTTGAAAGAGAGAGAGAGAGAGAGAACATACTTTGAAAACAGGATCATCCAAACACGATACAGTACCAAACCATTCTGTGTTGGCAGCAGCGCCGCCAAGAGGAGTGTGGGCTGTGACAGAAACACCGTGTTTCTGACAAAATTTGACAAGAGAATCTCGTTGGAAGTAAGGATGTGTTTCTATCTGATTCACAGCAGGCTTGATCTTCGCATAGGCTAAGCAGTCTCTAGTTAGAAATATGTCATAGTTGCTGCATGAAGGTGTCCATTAATTTGTTAGACGCATCCAATAAAAGAACAATGAATATCATGAAGTCCTCGGAGAAAAATACATTGAGGCACACAGTGCACATAGTAATTTAATAGAATTTTGAAGCTGGTATCTGAGAGTTTGTTGCACATATATATATAGACCTGTATAGATTTTTGTGTAGTTTTAGGATTTCAAACTTCTATTAAAGAGGTTATATACTCAGATGGTAAAGCAGCCGAAAGAAAATCATGAAGTAGAGAAGCTGTCACCTGATCCCAATACTTTTCACTAAGCCCATGGAGACGAGATCTTCCATTGCATGCCACGTGGTTTCCAACGATATTGTTGTATCTATGTCCAAGACACCATCATCAGCCAATGCACTGTCAGTTGTGCCAACTCCTGCAAGAAAGTCAATGCCAAGAAAAAACAATTTCTTATCTTTCAACAGAACACATCACTAAATTAGTGCGGGAGTTGCTGAAAATCACAAAACAAAGACAATGAAAGATTAAGATCAACGCAATTGCCGCATAGAATAAATACATCTTCTTTAGTATTCCTAGTGGGATAGCATCTTCCACTTTTTCCCTTTGCCCTTTTCAGCACCTGGATGAAGTTTCCATGACACTCACCAACAGACCTACTAGTTAATCTCCTCTTTCTCATACACCATCAGAACACACATCTTATGTAACCATAAATATAAGCTTGGAAAATCACACAGATATATCGGCCAGCAGAGTATCAGGTGCAAAAAATCAGTGAAATTTACCAGTATGTCTTGTGGCAACGGGGAAATGAACTAGATACAAGTCTAGATAATCCAGACGTAACTTCTTGAGACTGTCTTTGCAAGCCTCGACTACATGCCCGTGGTCTGAATTCCATAGCTGCATTTTTGAACAAATCCAATCATGTTCAGAGACTCAGAGCAATGTATACAGAGTAGAATTTGAAAATTACAAATTTGAAGCTCAACATAAGTGCAAATAATATTACTAGCCTTGGTAGTTATGAAAAGATCCTCCCTCTTAACAAGTCCAGCCTGAATCACTTCCTTCAGTGCATCCCCAACTTCAGCTTCATTCTTGTAATCAGCTGCAGAAAGAAGTTGAACATGTCATAATGCAAATAATCATGAATTCGAAATAGCTACAGCAAGATGATTATTTACAAGACCCTACTATCACTTTGAAGAAATCCACTATTGGCAAATGTTGTCAACTTAGCTTTTTGAGTTCTGTCAATTTGTGTTAGTGCTCTAACGAAATTGCCCAATGAATAGAACTGATTGCTTTGCCAATTTTTTTGGGTTTCGGATCGTTTAGGCCTTCAAATAGGTGCTTTTCTACTTTCCAGACTTTTTCTTTACTTCACAATTTTATTTTTTTTATTTATTTATTTAGGTTATTTTGGGTTTAGAATTTTCAACTATATAAATACACAGAATTTGTTCTTTCTGCATTTTTTCTCAAAATTCTACTACTCCATTTTCAAGTTTTCCAATACGAATACACTATTGTTTCTTACAAAACACCTCATTCAAATTACTGTTCAAACAAAAAAATCAAAACCAAAACTATATTGACAACCAAGCGCACTCCTAGTCTTTTGTAACTAATCATTTTTTGGCTGAATAACAATTTTTTTTTACAATATTAGACTGGGAATTAATTATTTCGTTGACTATCTCTATTAATGCATTGGGATCATGTTACAAATCGAATCACTAGAAAAGCACAACAAAAACATGATACACATCTCTGAAGAAGAACTGTCCAGTTTGTTTTAAGAAGCAAGCAATTCAAAATCCAATATCCTTGATCAACGAAGAATTATAGATAATTCTAGAGGCGAGTAACTCAAGTAAGATTGCTGTTAACTTCACTTTTTTCTTGGAATTAGATGTTTGTTCACTTCTCTATGAACGAAATCATTTACTTCTCAATACTCAGAAAACCACAATTTCTAGCACATCGAAAAATACAGAAATGTTCATAGAGTGCTTAAAATCAAATAAATTCATCAGTGAAAGCAGCTTTTCAACTTCCACATGCCAAAAAGTACGAATCACTCGATCATACCTCAAAACATAATCCGACATTGCAGATAATCAAATAGGAAAAATAAAATCGTTTCCAGTAAACAAAACACAATCCTTGAAGCATAAGAGAGTACCGGCGCAATCAAAGTGACGATAACCAATTTTGACGGCATTGGAGATAAGATCCTTAATCTCCTTGCCTTCCACTCGCCAAACTCCGAGTCCGACGACCGGCATCTTGAATCCACTGCTGAGCGTAATCGCCATTGCTGAAAAGGATTAGCTTCGAGCCGATCTCGAGTTTCCACTCACCACGTTCTGCACTGAGATTGCCGTCCTTCGTTCTCCTATTTTATTTTTTTTTAATCGGAGTCCGTCGTTCTGCTTGTCCTTTATATGGGCATGAAATCCTCGAAGCAGATACCACAGTACGGCGTCGTTTCGGCCTATAAAAATCTTCTTTGCATTTTCCATAGATCGCACAGGCTACAGCCGGTTCGGTTCGCTAGTTTGAATTATCTAAGGTTGGTTTTTTTACCGCAGTTTTCCCAAATTTTACTATTTAGACTATATCAAATCTAATACTTTCTAAATTAAGGGTGTGATGAATTTGGAAAAAATATAGTTTGAATTTGATATAAAAATAATATTTGATGAAATATTTTGTGAAAAAAATGATTTTTTTTGAAAAATACATAGCTTGTTTAGTCGTTAGCTGATTCAATTGGCTGATAATGTTACCTAATTCAATTAATTGGTTTGACTAGCTGATTCTATTAGCCATATTAAAATGTTTGGTAAAACAACAATTTGATGTTAGCTGTTTATATATAAAATGACAATTGAGGACATTTATATTTTATTTTTGTTATTAGTTATTGAAAATTGTAAAAGTGTTATAAAAGTATTTATTTTTATTACGGTTAGATTTAGAAAAATAATATATTTTTATTAAAATATATAAATAGTTTTTTCTATTGAAAATGATGTAAAATATAAAATAATAAATTTTTTGTGTATATATTTATTATGTTAGTTATCGATTAGTTTATTATATTTATAATTTTCAACAAATTTAATTTATTTAATTTATTTTTAGTATAAAATTTATATAATGTAATTTTAATATAAAAATAAATTATTAATATTTATATTTTCTATGATTTTAATAAATTTATATATTTTTTATAATTAAAATAATTTTTATATAAAAATTAATTATTTTAAATTTATAAAAGTAAAACTATATTATAATAAAATATTCTAATATAATTAATAAATAATCAAAATATATTTATTTGTGTAAAATGCATAATAAATTTTTAAATTCATATAAGGAATAAAAAAATTTAAAAAAAAATTATTTCAAAACATTGGATAAGTTAGCTTTTCAAAAATTAGCTTTTTGGATCCAAAAAGCTATTCAAAAATCTAATTTACCAAACACCTAAATTAGTTTTTTTATTGATCAAACAAATAAAAGCTATTTAATAAACTAAAAGCTCCTCAAAAAGCTATTTGTCAAACAGCTCCGGCTGTACAAAATAGCCGTCCATCTCCTACGAGTTCCCACATTTTCCTAACATTACAAATGTATTTCCTCTCTTCCATTGCATTACGACCACAAATTTTGCTGACACAATTATTAAAAAATTATGTAATAAATAATTAATTATTTTGTATTTAGTTGATGCAATAGTAAAAGATTATATATTAAATAGTTAATTATTTTAAATTTAATTAATATGATAATTATATTGTGTGTTTGTTTTGTGTTATGATTTGAAAATATTTTTGATACAAAATATAAAAAATTATGTTGATAATATAAAAATAATAAATATGTAATATATTAATTTTTGAAAAAAATATATTAAAATTTTTTATTATAAGGACAAAGCTAGAATAATTATAAAATATTTTTCATTAATTTAATATATTAAAGATAAAAGAGGTGTTAATTAATTTTTAGAAACAATATTATATTTAGATAATCTATTAATTTTTTTTACCCAAAATTTTCAATTTTGTATTATTTGGCCTCTGTATTTCCAAAAGAAAAATATTTTTTTTTCTCTCACATCAAAATAAAAACACTCTTAATTTTCTATAAAAATTTAGATATCAACATAAATTTCAATATTTAAAGAAAAAAACGAACTTTTAAAATTTAAGAAAGCTTTTTTTTAAAAAAAAAACTATTAATTTATTTAAATATTAGACCCGGACACACTCACTGTTTTCCTCTTAAAATTTTAATCACATCAACATTGTTGCCTCTCCAAAGTTACAGAAACTAAGAGTGTATTTGTTTTGTGAAATATATTAAACTGGTATTTTTTTTTTATACGAGGTATAAAAAATTATATAGATAATATAAAAATAATGAATGCATGTAATATATTATTATTTTTCAAAAAACATGTTTGTGATTTTTGTTAAAAGAACACACCCTAATAATTTACTCCCTCCAAAACTTATAGAAACTATGTTTGTTTGGGAGATTGGATTGGATTTACACTATTTATCCAATTTTTTCTCTTCAAAAATATCAAATCAAACACCTATTTTTAATTTTTTATTAAAAATTAATTTTACATTCAAAACATCACATCAACACCTATTTATATCACGTCATACAACTATTCAAATTCAAAATTTTTACTATTCAAATCTCAACTCAAAATCCAAAACCCCAAAACAAACACACCCTAAAAACATACTTCAAAAATGGAAAAGAAATCACAAACACGTTTTTTCAACAAAAATCACGCACACACTTATCCATTTCAGACTATAATATTCCACACGCACCAATCTCTCCATTGTGCACACACATGGATTTACATTTCGGACATAATACTCCACACACATCATTCAATTACCAACTACAACAAATTAGGGAGTTTTACTTTGGGTGTGTTCGTCTGGGAGTTTGGATTTTGAGTTGATAGTAAAAAATTTGAATTGGAATAGTTGACGATGTGATATAAATAGCTGTTGATATGATATTTTGAATGTAAAATTAATTTTTAGTATAATATAAAAAAAAATGGATGAATAGTGGATTTGGAGTAAAATTCCCCGAACAAACACACCCTGTCACAATTACATTCTCATTACATTTAGAAATCTAAACCTTAGCTAAGGTATTCATAAACATTGCTTCATCTTCCTTTCCGCAAAATCCCAACAAGTTTTTATATAATGTTATAGCACAGTTACGACGTAAAACAATGACAACCACCAAAAAGGAAGATTGAAATTTGCACGAAGATTCACATATATGCCATGGTTAGTTTTTCTATTGAACTTTATGACATTTGAGAGGGTAACAAAATAATGAATCATTAATTATAATAGATGTATACATAAAAGCTAAAATTTGGTGGATATTATCATTTTATTTTTTTCAATTGACAGGTCAGATTTTAAAAGCAAGTGAAAAAGAATCCAAACCTTGTAATGACCTATTTTAGTTTGATTTCATCCGGTGTTTCATTTCTATTCTTTAGATCATATCATTCCTGCAAATGAGAAAGAAAAAAAGACGTAAGTGTTGAAACAAATAATGCAATTGTTCAATTTTTACTACAACACTATAGGAATGGAAAACATATTCGTGATAAGTTTGCAGAAGCAATAAAGCATTTTTCGATATATAGGCGTATTGTGACTTATTTATGTTCAGAAGCAAAACAACAATAAAGCCGAGGAGAAGCAATATCTCTAGTGAAGCAAGAAATAAAAAAACGACATAAGAAAATGGTTGATTACAGATTGATTGAAAATATTGAACCACGTAGATGAGGTACTATACGAAAGCTCACCGTAACCATACACTGCTCTAAGTCGATGGTTTGGCGATGGATTAAGAATTGAAATCTCAGAGCTCACACAAATGCCATAAAACCATCTTTAACAGCTTCAAACAAGTTATCAAGCCTTAAATTTTATGATTGACATCGTTATGTGCATGTGCATCGTTATCGAGTTTGATATTTTTGTTGCATCATTTCACTATTAGTACGACATGACACGTATTTTATGATTGACGAAGATTAGACTTTATTTTAAAAGATATGACATGATATATTTCACGTTAGTTCTTAAAATTAATTTAATTCTAAACTGCTTTTAAGAAAAATATTTGGTTCAGGTATGTATGGCACATCCGGGACAGGGGACGTCTCGCGATATAAAAAGACAGACTGAAATGAGTGAACTTACATCTATTGTATTATATGTAAATTTTTAACCGGAAAAACCTTTTGTTTAGAAGTATGTTTTGTAATATTAAATCGGATTTTGTTATATAATAATGCGTTTTTATGGTTGATTTTAGCTTTAACATTACGTTATGGGGCTCAAAATAGGAGGTGACGACCTCATGATGCAGTATGTTTTATTTACTTGTATTATAAAAAAATTATTTTCTATAAAATGATATTCATATTGTATATATTTCTTATTGGGATATAATTATTTAAAATATAAAAATAAATATCTTAATGTTTTCTAATTATATATATTAAATTTATTTTACAACTATCAATATTATTAATTATATAAAAAATAATAAAATAATATAATAATTCATTATTATCAAATAATTGAACATCATTCCCCCAATAAAAAATGTCAATAATATTGAGATAGATAAAATATATATTTATGTTAATATAACTTTTTAAATATAGTTATAATTATTTTGATATTTTTTATTATAAGATAATAAATATTATACTATAAATTAATTATATTTTTATAAGTAAAAATATACTATATATGTTCCATAATTAAATAGTTAAATATTTATTTATTTTTTGCTTATCTAATTTTAAATATTAATATTATATTTATATCGTAAATACAAATAAAAATATACTATATATGTTCCATAATTAAATAGTTAAATATTTGTTTATTTTTTGCTTATCTAATTTTAAATATTAATATTATATTTATATCGTAAATACAAATAAAAATATACTATATATGTTCCATAATTAAATAGTTAAATATTTGTTTATTTTTTGCTTATCTAATTTTAAATATTAATATTATATTTATATCGTATACAAATTAAGTGAAAAATAATTTGACAAAAGAACGATTCTTAACATTTGTGAATTTTGGATGATCTTATTCTTATATGCCTCATGGCACATAAATATAATATGATGGCAAAAGACATGTACTTAATCGCGTTTTCACCATTGGAGCTAGAAATTCGATTTATACCAATGGATATAGAATTTCCCTAAAGGCTAAAACCCTCTCACTGTCTTCGTTCAGTCCCCCGCTTCTCCCTCGCGGGTTTACCTCGATTTGAAGGGGAGCGCGGGTCGATTCTGTTCTAGGGTTTTTGAATTGCTTCTGTCGTGTTTTTGGTTTGGTGAGTTTTCGCGGTCTGCAATGGCGACAACTGCAGCTCCAAATGCTCCCGACAAGTCGTCCATGCCTACGAAGACTGTCGACGCCTCACTCTGGTGGGAGCCTTTCAGTGCGCTTCTTTCGGAACTTGAGAACGCCTCCGTCGCGTCGGTACTACCTCACTCTCTGGTAAGAAAACTTGAATGGAATATTGTGACGTTGCATTTTCAATTTATAGGAGTTGCGGTGAGCATTTGTTGTTGCTGGTTGAGAACTTTTGAAGAAAATGAAATCCCACGAAGTTGGTTGCGCATGTATTGATGATACTAGATAATATCATTCCAACAAAACCTTTTCACGAAAATGGAATTTCAAGAAATTGTGCCCGCACTTTTTTTTTTTTTTTTTTTTTTTTATATATGAATCGAAAATATGATGAGTGATGTGATGTGATTGGACTGAATATTTCAGGAGAAGAAACTGAAGGATAATCACATGTGGTTTCTGCATACCATTATGCAATTCAAGTCGCCAGATAAAAAATCGAAGGAAGCATTGGATGCATCCTGTGTAAAAATTGGAGATCATGAGTTGAATGTACAGCCTGATTTGAAACAAACCGCTCTCAAAGTCAGTTCAATCTTGGTATGGTTTATTTACTCTTTCTAATTGTGATATATCTGCGTCAATATCTTTTCGGGCTTCTGTGAAACCTAGAGTGCTTGCTTGAATTTAAATCAAAACTGTTTCAATTATCGAGATAATGAAATATACTACAATTTTATCAGTGTTTGGATGAGGTACAGTCTTATATTCTTGCTAAACGAACACTGGATCACACAAATTCAGCAGTGAATGATCTGCAACAGGATATTGTAAATTTGGTTAGTATATCTCGTCTTTCATCTATTACTATTCAGCTTTCCAGTCCCTATTTGCATATTGCAGCATTTGGACTGTCTAATTCTTTTATACATTTGGGATATTGTTTTTGTGCTGGTTTGATCTTGAATTTTGCTCCAAAGTTGGTTGTTATGTTGTACTATGGAAAGTCATTGCTGGATATCATGACAGATTGAGGATTTGGAAATTGGACCAAAAACTTACAATAGTTTATTATTCGTTGGTTCTGTTCTGAAATCACTGGTGGATCTACCTTCCCCTTCGAGGCTTCACCTATAAATGTTGTTGACCTGATAAAATATAATATAAAATTAAAGTTTGAGGTATTTGATGTGTTTAAAATTATTTGCTACAGTTGATGAATCTGTTTACTGACCATAAGTATACACTTTAAAAAAATAGTGAACAATATTAAATATAAAGTACATATGGACTATCGATAATGTATGTTATTAGGCACTAGTTATATTTTTAGAAAGGCTTTGCAATTTGCAAATGGAAATATGTTGTACTGATAAATAATTTAGGGTTTGTTTACTTACATTTTTCAATTATATTTCCGCACTATTCAATATTCATAATAAACTTTCCCTCCTAAAAAACATTATGTCTGACTCCTGTTTTCCATTTAAAACAACGCATCCATCACCAATTTTCCGTCCCCAAAAGACCCAAATACTTCTGAACACAACTAAACAAATCCTCAATGCTTCATACCTTTAGATGCTTTCCCAGTTCATGATGATTTGCCACTCTGAAATTTTTTCTCATACCACATCCTCTACTGTGACAAGGTGGATTTTGCTTGATCCAAAATATGTTTAAGAAAATAATTTTTGTTCCTGAGTCCGTGGAAACCTAATATTTTACTCCAACCTTGCTTGATAGCATCCTAGATTGAAAAAAATCTATGCCATCCATTTTTCTATATAAAATTTTATACGGTGTTTTTTTCCTAAAAATGCTCATTTATTCTTTATTGAAAGGTTGTCATCGAGTACTACATTGAGCGGCAATGCTTGTTGAAGTGCACAAGGCAGATTCTTATGCATGCCTGTAAGTATTCCTCACCTGCACACATGCACCACTTACGCTGTTGTATATAGTATTAAGTGGTTTTCCTTTGAGTTCTTGGGAATGTCAATGTGAAGTAATTAGCAGATGCTTTGTTAAGTGTTTGTTTATGGTGGATCAAAATTGATTGCTGCGTCGAGAAAACACTTACATTCCTTCAATTTTGTTCTTCTCTGTCCACAGGACTTAGAATTTGTGTGGACTTATTTTCTCAGTTGCAAGGTGATTCATTAGTTTGATAGCCTTACTTTTGTACTTGTTAAGCACCTTTTGTGGTTGAGAAATGTGGTTTCTATGACGAATAAGGCTGCTTAGTGTTTTACTGAATAATGGATTTACTTCTTACTGAGGATTCCAGATTTATGTGATATGGTTTTCTTTTCCTTTTGCCTTCCATTCCATGCCTTTATTAATTATTATTATTATTATTATTATTATCATATATTTTTAATGCTCATACAATTTAGGTTCCCAATTATGACTTAGCACTTCTTATAAACAGTACTTATGGATTTTCTCATTGGTTCTGGTTGGTGATGGATGAAATTGAAATTTATGATAATCTTGAGGTCTGTATCTTGATAACTTTGTTCCCTTTGAATGTATGTATTTATTTATTTTTCAGTTTTTTTTATATATATTTTTTATTTCTAATATGCAATCTCCACGATTTTTTCTCACAAAACATCATATCAAACTATTATGTAAATACAATACAAAACACAAATGCAAACCAAACCCGCCCTTCATATTTTCCAATCATTATTCGTGATGGTTAAATTTGATGGCACTATCCATGTTAAATGAAATTGTTGCGACTGTGTTTCTTCAATCCATAATTTTATTTTAATGTGCAAAATGCCATTGCATTCATAGTGTTAATGTTAACTTTTTTCACTTTTTGTAATGCAATTCTTTTTGTTTTAGTACATTATGGATCTCAGCCGGGAAGTTCTGTGGTTTTGGAAGAGGCACACAGGTTAATCTCCGATGGACTTGAGTGTAAAGTGCTTTCTATCTTTGAAGATCTTCTCTCTTCCAACTACCCAGACCAGATGGTAGGCTTCTAAGCACATTTTGGCAGTTGGGGGTGTCTAACTTTCTTCATTTGTGTGTCTTAAAACATTTTGCTTGCATGTACAAGAAATCTCCCACTGGAGAAAATTTCCTATGGTTATGTTTGTTTCAGGATGCTGACCTATATGTTTTATGGGCTGAGGAGATACTTACTGAGGTCAACTTAATCCTTGACATTGTTTTCCTTGTTTACTATGAGTCCTTTTGCACATGTGATGCTAAATCCTGGAAACAGTTATCTGCATTTTATGAGGTGATTTTATTCTTTGCCTTGTTTTATTATTATTATTATTATTTATTTATTTATTTTTCACTCTCTGGATTTTGATTAATTAATTTGTACATTTATTTAAATTTTCTTTTGCAATTCAGGGCATTATCACTGGATCATATAATTTCCAGAAACTGACCATATCACCTGAGGCTATACATGCTGTTTATCATGCCAAAGTGCAGCTACTCTTTATACTTATTGAGGCTTTAAACCTAGAAATTCTTCTTCAAATGGTCCATGATAATACAGCTTTCAGGTTTTAGTCTCTCTCTCTCTGTCTCTTTCTCTCTCTATCTATGACAACTGTAGCTGTGTCATTACCTTATTTTGTTGCATCTTTGGCACTAATTGCATTTTTTATGTCAGCTAAAAAACTTTCCCATCACTCCTTTGCAACTTTTTCTCTTCCTACTATTCATTCCACACGCTCCCTAATAAAAATACACTTTCTTCTCACAAAACATAACATCAAATTACTGTCCAATGAAAAAACATAAACACAAAATAGAAAAAAATCACAATCCAAACACATTCGTAGTAAATTAGTGAAAACTTGGAATTTTCTTTGTGGAATTTCAAATTGATTGTTATGAAAAAGTTATCAACTGTTTTAGTGGTCATGGTCCCTGTCTTTCTTTTATGCATGAACCTATGACAATTCTTGTGCATATCCCTTTTTAATTTAACTTTTCCTTGTTGAATTAATTTCTTATGTATAAATATGCTTTATCACACATGGCATACAATCTTGGTTCTATCTTTACTCGTCTTGAATAATGTCTTTTCTTAACCGATGTTATAAAAAACCCTTAAATCTGCATGGAGATATGATATATCATATATAAACTACTGGCAAGTCCTTTTGATTTGAATCTCATGCAATTCTAATGTTGAAGTAGTATAGGATAGTGCCTATGTTGAATTTATGATTATGCTACTGCTCATTACAGGCTCTGTGGTGCTTATTGTCGACTGTAATGATATGGTATTGCTATGCATCTGTCTAGTTGCTGGTTTATAGTTGTATCATGTTTGTGTTAATCTATGATAAAACTTTATATTGAATAAACTGTAGATTCTTTTTCTCTTTTGATTCTTCTGAGACCTTTCTATTATGTGAAACCAATGTTAAGGATGAAAGTGTCAAAGCCAGATGTAAAATGTATGATTCTTGTCAATGCCGAGCATTAATTCATGCCCACTGATGCTGGATGTTTGTAATTTACATACCAATATATTCTAAGTGCTAGATTTGATATATTTGGGTGATCCTTTGTTGACTTGTACTACACAGTTGTTTGTTTGAATTGGAAATGGGTATATTATCCCGAGTAACTGAAGGTTTTTTGTGGTTTCTTGCTCAGGCAGGGTTCTATAGGCTTTTCAGAACTTGACATTCAACAAATGGATGCTAAAATATCGATCATCAATACTTTCGAAGCTAAGGAAGCTGGTCCTCTAATTCTTGCATGGGCAGTGTTTCTCTGTCTCATTTCTTCTCTTCCAGAAAAAGAGGACAACAATATACTAATGGTACAAGTGGCTTCCACAAAATTGTTCCACCACTTTCTCTTCTTGTAGTGTTTATATATATGGTACATTTTATGTGATTTTCTAATCCTTTCATTCATGTCAGGAGATAGATCACATTGGCTATGTTCGTCAAGCTTTTGAGGTTTTGTCTTTGGAATATTTTCATGCAATTCTGCAGAGTGACATATTGAAACATTCAGATGTAAGCCATCTTTACATATGATTTGTGGGTTCCTGGTTAATTAATATTTTAGAATCTTAAAACTAAGGTACTTGCTATTTTTAGGGCCCTGTAGCTGGTTATCGGAGTGTTTTAAGAACGTTTATGTCAGCTTTTATTGCATCATATGAGATCAATCTTCAGGTACAAACAAATAGATACTTATACATTTTATTGGTCTCTTGGATGTTCACCCCACTTATTATCTTGCAGTTTGAGGACGCTAACTTGAAATTAATATTGGACATACTATGCAAAATCTACAGGGGAGAGGTTTGTCTGTTCAATGATTTTGTGCTTCATATCTTCTCTCTGTAATTTATTTAAAATATGTTGTTGCTTGTAGGAAGCTCTTTGCATTCAGTTTTGGGACAGGGACAGCTTCATTGATGGTCCTGTAAGGTGTCTCCTTGGCAACCTAGAGGGTGAATTTCCATTCCGGACCATTGAACTTATAAGCCTGTTATCAGCCCTTTGTGAAGGTTCATGGCCATCAGAATGTGTGTAAGTAAAACTTGGTGTGGGTTTGTTGGATGTGCTTTGCAAGATTCTTTATTCACTTTTCAACTCCATAGGGTATGAGCCTTTTAAATCATATCAGTAATACTGGTTACTTAGTTTTAAGAGTAACATCCAAGTTTTAGGTATATACAAAACTTTCACCATACACAAGGTTTAATGCATAGAAGTTGAGTCTGAAGAATATTAGTGGAACAATTGGAAGTACAAATTATATTCAATTCAATAATAAATCATGCGGTTTAAATATTTCTTCCTTTCTCATCAATAATTAAGATATGTTTGGTACAGTGAATTGAGAGCAGAGAAATAAAAATAATTTAATTTCTCTTATTTGTTTGAGTTAGAGAAATGAAACTTGAAAATAAATTATTTTCAGTTCTCTCTCATTTGCAGAGAAATGGAGAGAAATGAAATTTGTATACTTGAATGTGTATTTCTGTATTTAGTTTCGCAGTCTTGTAAGAGAGACATGAATGATATACTAGAATATATATTTCTAAATGTATTTATAGATTTTACTATTTAATTTTTATAATTTTTAAAAAATATCTTGTTCTGATCTTATATAATTCATATCAAAATTATTATTATTATTAATTTATTATTGTTATTATTTAAAAATTACTGGTTAAATATGATAATATTTATTCACAAAATTTTACTTCATTAAAATTATCTTTTATTTATCGTTTTTCGAGATTAATTCATTCTCTTACTTTTTACTTGTAATACGCAGTCTCATTTAGGGCGACTCATCCATTCTGTTGTATTTTTTTAACATTCTCAGCATGAATTCTCTTTTATACCAAACATAAGAATTAATTTTCTACAATTCTTTTCTTTGCTATTATTTATTTGCAATTCAATTCTCTTTACCAAATGTGCCTTTAATGTCTATAGAATTGAAAAGTTCTGTTGTGGCTTAAGGTTAATTGTTCATGGATTTTCTCTTCCTTAAGCTATACGCATGGTTTATCCTTTTTTTTTTCTATTCTTTGACAATCTATATCATGTAGTTTTATTATTATTTAAGTGGCATTTTATAAACTGGTTTCAATATAGAAGGTTCGCTTCCAGTCAATGTTGTGTGAGGTTTCCATAAACTTTACCTAGATGCATACTTTATAAACTTTAGCTGCATTGTTTCTGAATACATATATTGTTAGATGATGTTAAATGACCGTCTTATCTAAAAATTTAAGCTAGTAGTGATACATATTATTTATTTATATTTTATGGTAGTTAACCAACACACCCTCTCACTTGCAAGGTATATACACCACCATATGAATTTTTACATGTGGACGACGACGAATTGGGACGGTGGGACTTGAACACGAGACCCATGACTCTGATATCATATAGATTCTATTATGTTAAATAACCGTATTACCTAAAAGCTTAAACTAGTAGGGATACATATTATTTATTTATTTATATTTTACGGGAGTCGCCCAACATATAGTTATTGTATCATTATCACATGGAATTCTAGATTAAAAAAACTTTCTTAATTAATTTCTATCTGAGTAAATTAGAACACAATATTATTTCTCAGACCTGTAGCTGCTGTAATTATATCAAATTATTTCTTCATTTCATGACCCAACCTCTATTGCAGTAGCCCTTCTGAGAGGCACAATCTTCTTTAGTATTTTCTAACCCACTGAATGCTGTAGCTATGCTACCACTTTAATGCCTTACTAAATATCTATGTCTACCCTCGATTATAGAAACACCTTCACTAACCTTTTTATTATTATTACTTCTTTTTTTTAATACATATTTGAAAATTTCGATTGGGGTTTACTTTTCTTGATAACCTCTATTACAGAAGCCCATTCTTAGGGGCAAACTACATTATGAATCTTCTTTAGTATTTTCTAATCCACTGAATGCTATAGCATTGCTGTCACTTAAATGCCTTTCTGTATTTCTCAATCTACCTCCATTATAGAAGCGCCTTCACAAACCTTTTATCATCATCATCATTATTATTATTATTATTATTATTATTATTATTATTACTATTATCTTTTTAATACATATTTGAAAATTTTGATCAGGTTTAATTTTCTTGATAAGTCTGTTGGTCTATCAACTCTACTTGAGATAGGCAATGGCTCTGTGGTAGACCCTGTTTCAAATATTGTTGAAACACAATTTCCATTGCGTGTTGCTGGTATTGAAGGCTTGACTATTCCAGCCCAATCTCGAGGTCGAGTGTTGAGAATGATTGATGAAAAATGTGTACTAGTGCGGTGGGAGGTATATATGGTTGCTTACAGTTCTTTTTCCCCCTTTAATAGTGCATTTTTTTGTGAGTTTCTCTTTCCAAGCCACTTCTCTATGGTATCTGGTTATTGTTTAATGGTGTTTGTGTTATTAGTTGTTGCTTTCCGGTTTTGTTATATTTTTGCATGTTGTTGGTATTGTGTTCATAATGCTTACTATATCTATTATTGTTTGTTTGGTCCACTTCCTCTAACTGCATTGCTCATGTAAGATTGAAATGTGTTCCGTCTTACCTTTTAAGAATATAGATGCCTTTAGCATTTTAGTTGTTGTTAGTGAGCTAAAATGGTCCGGAGTTTATTCAAATTATGCTAAACATATCATTATACCCTCTATCCTGAGCCTTTGTGCCTGTGTTTATATATTATTTCTCGTGGCTAGAGTTTAAATGTATCAATTATATAAATTGAATGGATATCTTTGACAATGTTAATTTTTCGATGGATATTTATGGTCTTCAGTTCAATAATAAATTTAGCTTTGATTCATGAATGCATGTTCATGTGCATGCCTATGTGCTTCAGAAACAGTATGTAATGGTGATATGGAAGAATAGGTCTTAGGCCATCTCCAATCTATAAACTTCATTTATACAGTTTTTAACTTCAAATATATGACCTACAGTATTTTTACTTTAACCATAACTCTGTTTTTCACTAATATTTTTCAAATATTCAACTTTTCCTATTATTTTAAACAAACTTTTTATATTTTATAATTTATAATAATTTTTTTTTTCAATTTAGAAAAATAAAAAATTAAAAAAAAAAAAGAAAAAGAAAGGCAATGCCATTTTTTGGTGTTGCTAGGTGTTGCACTGTAGCAAACTAGTAATGCCAAAAAATGGTGCAGGATTTGGTGTCGGTTGGAAGCAACCGATGCCAAATCCACCAACCCAGCGCCATTATTGGCGCTGGGTTGGAGATGCCCTTAATAAGCCTTTTATTTATCACCTTTTAGATCTTTCTTGAGAAGGTTTAGCTACTTAAAGACTTTTCTCTGACAAAAAATTTACTATTTCAAGAAGTGTCTCACGGGCCAATACTTAATTTGTTAGTGACTAGCTTTACTAGTGGTGTTATTTGTCTTGTGTGGTCTAGTTTTTGTTGAATACTATTGAAAGCTCATGGAAATAGATCCTTTTTCCCTCTGTCTCTCTTCTGTGCTCTGCATCCATGTAACACCTAGCTTACCTAAACAGTACATTGTTCTTTCCTGTGGCAGTGCACAGAATCTGGAGTGCTTGTGCTGCTACTTCATTTGGCTCAAGATCTGCATAGGCAAAACACAGAGGAGCTTATTATTATTCTTGATCTGTTCAGTCGATTGGTGACATTTAATACGGTAGGTGTATTTTATTGTCAGTTTAGTCGGCTAATTTTGTTCTGTAAGGTTTGAAGAAAAATACATGGATGTTCTATTGAAACTTATGGGAAATGAAATTATAGTTTTTCCTATGAAGTCACATCTATTCTACCTGGTTACAGAAAATAAAAATAGTTTGGTAACATTTAGCTTCTCGAACTAGTTATTCTCACGCATTTAACTCCTTTAAACTGGCACATTTGTAAAGTACTGCAACTTGTTGTCTATGCCTATTGCCTCAATTGAACCATAATTTCTCATGCATTCTTAAAGGCTTGTCTTTTCCAAAATAGCCACCCTCTGCCCGAGGAATGTGCAAACATTTTTGCACTTTTGCATTTTCTTCAGAGAGATATTTAGAGCTTGTGCCGTTTGGCTAGGAATTCGGGTGCTGATAGCTTAAAGTCGCTGTAATTTTTTTTTTTTCTCCTTATATATCAGACTCACTCTGGAATTCAAGTGATTGGTTGATATGGTAGGAAGGAATTGATTGGGTGGGGGTTTACTGGGAACAGTGACATACTGAATAAGTATACATGGGCTGATGTGAACATGTTTTCAGTTGTTGCCTACAGTTGAGAACACCTTTTAATTTTTAATATTTTTTCTGATGTTAGGGTGTCCACTATTCTCTTATGGATTTTGGGAATTTTTCACCTGATGAGGCAATTTCCAGAGGAAATCTAGAGAGCTATGTGCGGTGTGATTTCTGATTTGTAATCTTTTGTATTTCTGAACTGTCAATCATGTTGTATATAACAGTAGTAATTTCTCCTGTCAAGTTGCATTATCTATCTTTGATTGCAGTATTCATGTTATTGAGATCGTCTGCGCTTTGCTGAAGAGTCTTTCCCCTAGTTTGAACGGTGTTCTAATGATGTCCATGGGAATTAATATATTGACAAAAATGATGAGATGGTAATTGACATTGCTTTTAGTCTGCAATATTCACATGCATTTATGGTTGCCTCTATATATTGTTATTCTTTGCTGGTGATGATTGCATTAATTGTTCCTGGATATCTAAGCGCTGAGCTATGCTTTTTCCTTGCACTTGTCATTCGATTATTTGGTCCTTACTTCTGCCATTTCAATATTTGTTTTATGCAGCTTGCCATCTCATGTGGCTCTGATGGCCATGAAGGGCAATATATTTGATGTTGCTTTGACGGAAAATCCTTTCGGTGCTGGCTCCAACAATTTATCAAGGTTAACCTTGGAAATGTCCTACAACTGAAGGGCTTGAAATCTATAATGGAAAAAGAAACTGAGAAATTTCTTGTCTTACTAAGTTTCAGTCTTACCCAATTGTCTCCCGCCTTGTGTCCCATTTTCTTGGTGATGGAAGTTAAATAAAACACTCAACATCTCTCACACATGCATATGTATTTATAGTTTTCTCATATCAAGTTTAACACACGTATGATCAGGATTTTGCTAATGTGAATCTCAGTAGTTATATTCTGAGTTAGGCTTACACGATCAAGCTCATCTTCCATGATATTAGTGTGTTTTTCTTTGGATTTGTTTTATTATTAAACATCTTAATATCTAACCCAAGAATGATGGTTTTTTTATGACAATATGCTTGCTAAAATGATTGCATATAATCAATGTGTTGATAATTTATTTGAATTGTGCCAGCGGATCCTGGTTGCTTTCTGGACGGCTTGCAAAAATGCTTTTGATTGATTGCGAACAAAGTGATTGCTTAATGACTCTTTCAGGTATGCTATTTATTTTCTATCATTAGTTATATGCTGGGTTATGCTTATTATTTTGACGTCTATTTTGCTCAAATTTATCATATCTTTTCCTTCAAACATGTGTTGCTTTTTCAATGACTGTTTGCAGCTATGTCATTTTTTGCATAAATCTCCTGTTCTTGAATCTTTAGATGTATTTTGCATTTCCAGTTTCCTTATTAAAATTTGTTTAATATCTCTTGCACAAATCAATTTATGTGGACTTGAACCCAAGATCCCAAATATACTTGTTGAATGCTAACCATGTGGGTAATCACAAGTTTGTTGTGTAGACTATTTACGTTGACTATTGATCCGGTTAACATATTCTTTTTCATCATTTGTGACTATGACAGTTTACCTTTTTTGTATGATTGTGGTGGAATTAATTTAAATGTCATCATATATGTTTCTTTTAGTCCCCTATTTATATATCTTTGGAGAATTAATTTGGGAACTGATTATACAGTGCTGGACTTCACTATGAATCTCCTGGATACCGGATTAGAAAGTGATGCAGTCCTTGCACTCATTGTTTTCTCCCTTCAATATGTTCTTGTTAATCATGAATATTGGAAGTATAAGGTGAAGAGTGCACGATGGAAGGTGACAGTGAAGGTATGCCTTCTTATATTGTGCAGACATATATGAAAAATTTTCATTGCTAACTCTATTCTACAGTACAGCTGCATTAGTGAAACATACATATGCTTGACTTCTCAAATATTTGATCTTTTTTTCTTTTTTTACTCATTAAGCTCATGCCAACAAGTTAATATTGGTGGTCATCTTTGGACCTTCCAGTTGTGATTGTTTGACAGAGATTCATTTAATAGAATATATCATTCCCTTATTTGAAGATTGTTAATAGTTAATTTAGTACTACCCAAGAGTCCCCCGAAGTTTCCATAATGCTTCTGAGTGCTGACTAACCTCTGTTCTTTTTTGTAGGTGCTTGAGGTGGTGAAGAAATGTACGCGATTGATCTCACACAGTAAAAGAGTGGGGGAAAGTATTCGTGATATTATGCTTTCGGATTCATCTATCCACTCAGCAATTTTTCGAATTGTTTGTACAACAGCACCAAGCTTAGAGGTTTATTATGCTGTATTTTTATCTATCTTGAAATGTGTTGATGTAATGTTGTTCTTTAATTTTTGCCATTGACTTGAATAATTCATTCTCTTCTCGCTCCCTTGCTATGCCTATTCAACAGAAACTTTATGTGTCCCGTACTTTTGACATGCTTGATATTGAGGGGCTGCAACTAGCTATATCCTCAGGGCTGGATGTCCTTGTGAGTATGTTAGATGCTTGCTCGAAGGTATGCTCACTATGCTTATTTCTATTTGCAGAAGTGTATTGTGAATAATGTATATTTTGGGGCTGTATATCTATGTTCAGATGTAATGCTTTTAATGTTTATGCATATGATTCTGTCAATCTCTTTGAGCGGGAAAGACCTGTGTGAAATGCAATTGTTGCTCTACTTTTACATTTTTTTAATTTTTCATTTTCTGTGGGTAAAAAAAGTTTTAAGGGTGTGTTTGTTTGGGGGATTGGATTTTAAATATACTATTCATCCCATTCCCCCCCCCCCCCAAAAAAAAACATCAAATCAAACACTCATTTTCATTTTTTATATTATACTAAAAATCAATTTTACATTCAAAACATCACATCAACACCTATTTATATCACATCATACAACTATTCAAATTCAAAATTTTTACTATTCAAATCCCAACTCCAAATCCAAACCCCCAAACAAACACACCCTAAATGTTGTGGTTATTGATCCTGATACCTGAGGATTTAGGTCTAGCATTGACACTTGAATGGTAGAGAAAATATTTCAATTGTCTTCATTTTGTTGGTTGCTAATTTTCAATGGCTCTCTCTTGTTCATGATTGTATATATTATTGCAAATATATAACTAGTAATGCAATACAAATGTACTCTGTTTTGACAGGATTCATCTGGTCTTCCAGTTTTTCATCAAGCAATTCTATCATCAAGAACAAAGCCAATACCTGTCCTCACTGCTGCAATATCATTAATGACATATTTTCGGAATGCTGTATGTTCTTGTCTCTTAATTAACTAAAGTGCTGCCATTTTTTGTCATTATATCATTGTTCAATTTTTATGTTATCTGTGGGGTGGAATCTCTTTTCTTTCTCTTCCTTCCTCTACTAAGTTCTGGATTGAGTCTTGCATTTGTTTTTCAGGACATGTTTGGTTTATTACATTTGTGTACAGATATACACACTCGCATTCTTGATAATGACAGATAGATAATTTGTTTTATTTTGCCCAGGAGATACAAATGGGTGCCACAAGGTTGCTCTCCATGTTATTTGCTGCATATTCTTTTGAGGGCTATAATGTTTGTCTTGGTTTGGAAGATAAGCAGGTTTGGCCAGATTGATTTTTTTGTATTACAGTTCCTGCCATGGAAATCATGTAATTGGATTCTGAGTTGATTTCATTCTTGTTACAGGTAGTTACTTTCCAGAAAACTGTATGCAACATATTTAATAAACAGTCTCCTTGGACTGAAAATCTTCTCCTTTCCACTTGGAAGCACCTAGTTTCAGCTGCACAAAATCAGGTCAGTTGTACACAACTTGACACTGCATAATGTAGAAAAGCTCTTGCCTGATATATGTGCATTGAAATTTTAATAGAACTTATAGATATTTTTTAATCAGTTTTTCTCTTCTAGTTAAACAATTATTAAATCAAGGACATCCGGTGTTAGTTACTGGTTATGCTATGATTTGTTGAGGAACTAACTATTAGACTAAGCTTGGTTTCTACTTAATGATCACTTGCTCCTTACCTTTTTTACTTTCACATCTATATATAATGATTATAAAATAATGAAAAAGATCGAGTTTACTTTGTAAATAGAAAATGCCAGAATTACCTGGACATTGCACATGTCAGGTTAATTATCACCTTGCTTAGGATCTTTGCATCAATTGCATTCAAACTATGAACTATGCCTGCAATTTTGCATACACTTTCTCTGGAAGTTTGCCATTTTGGTGTCATATGCCCTGCACGTGTTAAGAATTATCAGATTTGCTGCATTTTCTCTGTGGCTTTCTACTTTTGTTAGCTTTCACTGCCTTTCCACTCGCAGCCTGCCTTTCTTAATGCCGTCATGATGTCAAAAGAATATTTGAGTGGTCAAGTGCTTGAGAGTAACTCTGAGCATCAGCAAAGTAAGTTTGAGAATGGATTAATGGATTCCGGGGATGATAGCCTGCTGGATGAAATTCTGCAGTGTTTAAAAGATTCTGAAGATATAGTTCATAGGTATGCACCCCCTTGATGTTTAAATGTTCGACTGATAAAATTCTCTCATACTTTGAAGGTGGCATAAATATATTCTTTCTCTTTTCAGCAAACCAGATGTGTATCTGTTCTTTTTAAACTTTCTGAGGGCACTGTGGCAAGGTGCACCCCAGTTTACAAAAATGTTGGAGCTTTTGAAAATTTCAGACAAGTTCTGGAGACAAATTACCATTCCTGTCGTTCTTGTTGCTGGTACTGAAGGAAAGTTATCTGAAAACTTGACTGAGAAGGAGCTTCAGAACACAGCTTACAAATATCGGTTTCTGTCATATGTGCTGGATATACTGGGTTGTGAGGTTTTCTTGCAAAAAAAGTTAATGCATGCTGAGTTAGTCGCCAACAAAGCAACTAAATCACTAACCAATGAGACAGAGAAAAGGGATTCTAAACTTTCAAAATCTGAAAGTTTAAGCAACTTGAAGGAGATAATTTCAACTTGGTGCAAGAGTTCAGTGTTGAGTGACTTGATCAGGGCATGTGTTTCTTGGGAATTTGATAACAGCTTTCTTTTACGCTCTAGGGTGAGCTACGAATTTATGCTACTTACATCTTCCTCATCAAATCATACGAAATGAAATCCTTTTCTTACTAAATTATCTCTCTCTCTCTTTCTCTCTTTCTTTTACTGAATTTTGTAGATTGCTGGTGCTTTGTTTGCTGTCAGTGCTATGGTTAAACTAAGACATGGGGATTGTGGTAGTCTGTCTATATCTCTGGTTGAAAGGATTGTTATGTTATCACAAAAGGTTTGTATTCTTCAACCGTATCATTTTTGCTGTTTGATTAACTGAGACACATGCATCTAATTTAATGCCAGAGAATTAGAAAAATACGAAATAAAAATCATATCTGAGTTCATCATTGAAGTAGATCGGCGTTCGGAAAGTCTTTTTCTATGTTCACATGTGGTTAATGATGATGAGTAAATGGGTTAATACTTGAATGCATAATTACTTAAGGCAATGGAGTGTTCTGTCATATATCATGTTTATCATTGCATTGTGTTGATAATCAGGACCTCCCTACTCACAATGTAAGTTTCTCCAATGCATCTAAGTTGATAAATTACTTGTTCACTTCATTATGTTCATGCTCTACTTCCTCTTGAGCTAAGTTTCTATTTCGTATTGTGTTCACCTCTACAGTTGTGCAAGCTTCCAGCTTTTTCAGAATTGTCAACTCAGTACAAAGCACGAGGTTACAGGTGTAGTTCATGTTATTTCTCTGTCTGTTGTATTGTGAAAAATAGTTGTACTCATCATCTCTGCTTGCATACATGTTTCACATTTTGTGTCCTTGATACCATGGCGTCTTATTATTCTATTTTGTGATGTTACACCATTGGCAATCTAAAACACTTTTAGGACCTGTTCGTGTGCCTTTCAGTTTATCAGAGATTTCGTGGTTGCTTTGCAATTATAGTTGCAATCCACTGAATGCTGAGTGCTTCTGGCTGATCCATATTTATCAAATTAATTTCAATATTGTATGTTAAATATTTTTCTGCTCTTTGTGAAAATGTAATTTGTCAAATGTACATGACTGTGTAAGTCTATTTCTGTTTTAGTAGCTCTGGATTTCTCAGGATTCAGTAACTAGTGACGACCTGGCCTATTGTCTTGTTTAACTCTGAATTATATATTCTGCTGTAAATATTTGCTTTACAATGCTCATTTTTAACTCGGACCTGTTTAGTTTTGAAGGAGACTGTCCATTTAATGGGCTTTTCAAATGCTTTCCTCTGCTGATATTTTAAATTAAGTGCTGCTGCTGCGTTACTGTAATCCCATCACTTACCTTTTCACGTCAATGGTTTCAGCGAAGGACCACAGGTGGAGAATTTGATTCTAAGTGATCTTTATTATCTCATTCAAGGAGAGCTTGAAGGCCGTCTGATTGAAAACAAACCATTTAAAGAGCTGTTGCAGTTTATGGTAGAATCTACTTTCTTAACTGGTTATGAAAACAGACGAGATGATAATATATTAGCAGATGTCAACAGTATCTTCCTGTATGATAATGTTCGGCTTAGAGCTGATCTAGGATTGGAATTGTGGGAACTGTCAAGGTGGAAAGAATCTAAAGAGGCTGCAGAATCTATGCTTCTTTATTTGCAAGATGCTAATACCAAAATGTTGTGCTCAAATGCCAAGCTTTCCGCTTTGAGAGGGCTAGTTACTCTATTGCACATGCGTGAACACAGTGTAAGTTCTTGGTTTCTTGATGCTACCGAATGTGATCAATTTTTTTTTTTAACCTACAGGCATTTTTGTCAACAAGTATGCACTGTGCTTTGTTGTTGGCGATCATTTCTCTGGGTTTAATTAGAACTAGTCCTTACAATCTGAAATGACTCAGTGATTCAATAAATTGTGCAGTCAACAGATGCTGAAGCTCTTACAGGACTGAAGATATCTGATGGAGTAGTTTCTTCATGCATAGACCACGTGTGCCAATGCCTCCACAACACCATAAAGTTGTTGGCTCCTGTTCCTAATGCAGATGAACATTTGCTCAATATCCTCACTGCTCAAGCAGAGCTACTGCTAATACTTGTAAGGTCTTCAAGCAATAACTCTTCTCAAACTGCTCGTGTTCTTATTGTGAAGACATGTGGATACGGCCTCAAGGTGTTGTGCAGTTGTAGTCCCTCTCTTGATACTGGAACAGCTACAAAGTTGTTGCTTATGCTGATTCATAGCTTAATAGAGCTGTCATCCCCAGATTTGAATGCTGGGGCCGGAAGTGGCGGGAATCCTGATGAATATTCCTTGGAGGCTTCTAATTCAACTTTGGGATTATTACCTGTTCTATGCAGCTGCATCCAGCACCCTGATTATTGTACCCTGTCCTTGGCTGCTATTGATTCAATACTTAAAGGTTTCTCAATGCCTGATTCTTGGTTCCCTGTTTTACAGAAACATATGCCGTTGCAGCATGTTGTTCAGAAGCTTCAGGATATATCTTTGTCCGGAACTGTTGTGGTAATATTGAAGTTCCTTTTGAACCTTGCGCGCATCCGACAAGGTGCTGAAATGCTATTGAATGCCAGTATCCTTGCATCTCTGAAAGTATTACTGTCAGATTTTTCTGAAGCCGAGTCGTTGTCTGTTATCCAGTGTGAGAAAATTCTATCCCCATCTGAGAAGACTGACAATCCCCAGCCTATTTGGGGGCTCGGGATCGCTGTTCTTACAGCGATTATTCAGTCTTTAGGAGACAGTGCTGCTTCCACCAGTGTAGTCGATTATGTGATGACTTGCATATTGGTCGAGAAAGCTCCTCTAGTTTCATATTATCTTAGTGCGCCAGATTTCCCGAACAAAGGTCACGAAAATAAAAGGGCCCATTCATTGAAATCTAATGTTTCTTTGAGTGAGCTTAAAGAGACGCAATATACTTTGACCCTTATCTGTGTCTTGGCAAGGCACTGCAACTCTTGGAAGAAAATCTTACGAGGTATGGACTCTCCCCTGCGAGAAAAATGCATCCACTTCTTAGCCTTCATCAGCCGGGGGACCCAACACCTGGGAGAATCCCCCAAGGGAGTGGCCCCTCCCCTATTGTGCTACCCGGTTCTTAAAGAAGAGTTTGAGTTGTACAAGAAGCCGTCGTTTATCAACAGCAGGAATGGCTGGTTTGCGCTGTCTGCTCTCAGTTGCACATTGAATCCCAAGTTTGCACCCTTGTCTTCTAGAACTGCTCTAGCCGTGAGAGATCAGTCGAACGACAATGCTGATGTAGCTACACATTCGCATTTGTCCGACGTCATTGCGATTGATATATACAGGATCGTATTTCTTCTCTTGAAATTTCTTTGCTTGCAAGCTGAAAGTGCTGCTAGAAAGGCGGAGGAGGTCGGTTTTGTTGATCTCGTGCATTTTCCGGAGCTGCCTATGCCTGAAATCTTGCACGGCTTGCAGGTTAGTCATTTTCGTAATCTGCTGTTGTAATTTATTCAATGAATCAATTTCTTTCATTTAACTTAACAAACCTTTCTATGTGTTCTAATCGGACATCAGGATCAAGGGATTGCTATTACAACCGAAGTATGCGAAGCCAACAAGTCGAAACAACTTGCCCCCGAATTGCAGGAGGTTTGCCTCTTACTGCTACAAATAACGGTGATGGCCTTGTACCTGGAGTTGTGTGTAATACAAATTTGCGGCATAAGGCCCGTATTAGGCCATGTCGAAACGTTCTCTAGGGAACTACGGCTCCTTATTAGAGGTAAGCACTTTATTGCTGTTTTTGTTTTTGTTTTTGTTCGCGGTGATATTTTGAATAGTCACATTTCTTCTTCACCTCTTCCCTTGCAGCAACTGATGGCCATGTCTTCCTTAAAGAGCCGTTGAAAACCCTGAATCGGATTGTGTCATTTGTCTATCCTGAGTTAGTACAGCAAGAAGCCTTGTTTTGACACACTTAACTTTATTCATTGTGGCTGTATGGAAGTATATGTATTGTTACTGTTAGGCTTATCTTACTTAGGTTAACTTTCCAGAAAGATGAGACAATTTAATGAGGAATTAGTCCTTTTTTAATTTATTTAGGGTTTTGGTATTCTATTTTCTTATAGACTGATTGACTTTGGTTTAAAATGCAGTGCAGTGCAGTGCCCACAACGACCTCAATTGCAATTTCATTCTTGTTTCGGTCTTTTATTTGAGTTTTTGTCTTTAATTTTTGCAAATATTGCAAGGGGTGGATACGGTGCAGACAGAGTTGTTAACTATTCGAGCTTAGTAAAATTTTAAGTGTTTGTTAACGCTGTGTTCGTTCGTTAAGCTTTCGAGTTCGTTTGTAGTGTTCGAGCTTGGCTCGTTAAGAATTTTTATTGTTTGAGCTCGTGTTTGTGTTCGTGTTCGGCTTGTTTAGGCTCGAGTAAGTTCGTTCGAGCTCGTTTGTCTTATTTTTTTAAAATTTATATATAAATTATAAAAAAAAATTAAAATTATTTTATTTAGATATTTTAAATTAATATTTTATTTACTTATAAATTATAATTTTATATGTATATATAATATTTATAATAAATATGTTATTTAAATGAACGTTCGCGAATAAAGTTCGGGTTTGTTCGTTAATCAAATAAGCTTGTTTATGTTGTTCGGCTCGTTAACGTTTGCGAACGAGCTTTAACTGAGCTGAGTTCACGAACTGTTCGGTTTGTTGGTTTAAAAGTTCTAGGTGCAGACTGGCAAATCAACACTAATTTATCTCAAACAGGATATATGGAGCAGATAAACAATATATATTTTTTTGTTTAACACAATTTATATATTTAAGTGCTCTCTCTGTTCCGCGGTCTCATTTATATTTTATATTATTATACTTAATATTAAAATTATTTTTATATTTGTATAATTTTTTAACAAATGTAATTATAATAGTATTATAAGATACTAGTAGAAGTATATTATTTATATTACGTTTTTATATAATAATTAGTATACAAATATTAACATGTAAAAAGTAAATAAGATCTTTATAGTCGGATGGAAGTAGTATGATTTATAAAATAATATTGTGTTGTTTGTTATACTCCTTCCTTCCCATTTTGGTCTGTCTTTATAACAAAATTATTCATTTCTGTTTTTTTATTTATAATAACTATCTACTTTTTACTTATATTAAAAATATATTTACGACTTACATTATATTACACAAATATTATTACTTTTATAGCACACTATAGTAATAAGTTATTTTAGTTTTTTCTATTTTATCCATACCAAAACTTCGTGCAACAGCAAACAGATAGATAGATAAGGGACGGAGAGTATTATTTTGACATAGATAATATGGTTTTTATGTTCTTATATAATATGTTATTTTATATATATATATATATATATATAACACTCTATCCCTTAACAATTTATCCATTTTGGTTCATTTCATAACAAAGCATCTATTTTTATTTTTTATAATTGTACTGTATATCTAACATTATAACTATCATTCCAATTTATAATATATACAAAAATGTCATTATTTTTGTATCATACAATACTAACAAGGTTAGTTTAATCTTTTATTTATACTATATCCCAATATAATACTAATATTTTTAAAACTCCAAACAAAAAGTAAATGAATGAATAAATATGGGACGGAGGGAGTATGTTATTTGTTTACATATTATATATTATCCGTATTGTATTGAGTTTTATAATTAACTAATTAACAGTCGTTATGTTAATGTAACCTTCTTTTGAAAAATCATGTAATTTTTGTTGGCAACGCTTATTAAGAAATAATTATATTAGAATGTTAAGAGCAAATGTAGTGAAGTATATTTAGGGTGTGTTTGTTCCGGGGAATTTGTAAGAATTTATACTATTCATTAAAAAAAAATTCCCTAAAAATATCAAATCAAATATATTATTATTTTTTATATTATATTAAAAATTAATTTTACATTCAAAATATCACATCTAACATCTATTTATATCACATTATACAACTATTTCAATTCAAAATTTTTACTATTTAAATCACAACTCAAAATTCACATCCCCAAACAAACACACCCTAGGTCTTCTTTTTTTATCTTAGTTTTTTCTTTTTTTATCTTAGTGTTTTTTTTTTTTTTTAGTTAGCTAATATTAAAAAAATACTAATATAATTTTGATACACAAAATTTATAGTATTATATATTTTTTATGTTATGTATTATACTCTTTCTGTTTCAACTAATTTGTTCATTTTAGTTGGGGACACAAAATTTTAGATAATATGTAATTAGTAAGTAATTAAAAAAATATATTACTAAAAATAATTATAAAATTAAGATTAAGATAGACTAAATAGTTTAATTTAAAATAAAAAATATAAACTACAAAATTTAAAATGTGATTAAAGTGTATAATTATATTTAAAAACATAAAGACAATTAGGTGGAATGGTGTAATACCCCGGAGTTGGGCCGGTGCTAGGCCAACTCCCGGAATGAACCGTCAAATTATCCGAGGTTGAATATAAGTTAAATGGATTAAATAGACTACTTATGTCAACAATGTACACATTCCTTTTCGATAACCCTACTGAAGGAACGGTAGAGTTAACGTGTTTGTTTGTCCTAGAGTAAATTTGAGGATGGATGATCCTTGAGAAGTCTCCTACGTGCACGAGTGATGACAGAAATGTGTTGAAAAGACTCGTGTTGACCTGTGTAACAGTCTGCGAAATCGACATACTCCGCTTCGTGTGGCTTGCGGACCGGGATGTCACAAATGGGATGAACCGAAATAGCAAAAATAACACCATAGACACGAGAATTTAAAAAATGTATAATTAATAAACAATTAAAAATGTATCAGTGAATATTATTATCTTATAATAAAAATAATTTAAGAAAAAAAATGGCTGAACAAGTGGGATAGAGGAAAATGTAATACGGAGAGAATATTTGATCTAATTTTTTTTTTTTTTTTTTTGTGAAAAAAAATATTTAATTTAATATTTTATAAAATATTAGTGTAGACAAATAGTGTGAAAAATTCCAAAAATATTTATGTATATAGAACCTATAGTATCTTATTTACAAAATACTCCATCCACAAGACCTTTCTATGCCACTTTATTTCAATTAAAAAATAATAATAATAATAATAATAATAATAATAATAAAATAATAATTTTTAATATGAAAATATGATAAGTAAAATACTCCCTCATCCATTTATAATTGTTCTAAATATATTTAAACGGTTTTTTAGTAATTGTCTTTTTTATATGAATTAATAAACTTATCCTTTACGATAAAGTTGAGATTGAAAATGATAAATAAATGAAGGGTAAAAAAGTAAAATTTGTATTTTAAAAAAAATAAAACAATAATGATTGAACGTCCCAAATAAAAAAATAAGATATAAGTTTGTGGACTGAGGAAGTATAAAATAAGAATGTTATAAGAATTTATTAAAAAAGGCTTCAAAATAATAGTAAGTATTATATATAAATTTCGAATAAGTTTATCGACTATGAAAAAATTGACATAATTATTATGAATAAATTTAATGAAAACTAACATAATTATGGTGATGGAAGCAACTCGTTTGGAAACCTTGATTATGAGTGCTATTTAATTTTTACAAATATCAAATCAAATACTATATATTTCACAAAATATTACTTTCTCAGTCAGGTTACAGTGTCCTCTTTTAGACACAAGAATTTCAAAGAAGTATAATTAATAAATAATTAAAAATATATTAGTGAAAATAATTATCATATAATAAAACTAATTTTAAGTTAAAATAAAAATAATTAATTAGTCTAATTAAAATTAAAAATATTATATATAAAAAAAAATTAAAAATAAAATTAAAGTGTATAATAAATAAAAAAATGACAGAAGAAGTATGACAGACGAAAATATAAACGTAGACATAGTAAGTGGAAGAGTATATTGGATGAAGAAAGTACTCCCTCCGTCCCAACTAATTTGTCTGATTTAGCTTAGGCACAGAGTTCTAAGTATTATGTAATTAATGAATAATAATAAATTTATTAGTGAAAATAATTATAATTTAATAAAAATAATTTTAAATTAAAATTAAAATAACTAAATAATTTAATTAAAATAAAATTTTTTATAAATTATAAATTTTGAAATATATTAAAATATAAAACAAAAATGACCAATTATTTGAAATGAACGAAAGGAAAAATACTGGAGAAACTAAATCAGAAGAAAGAAAGACTATTTTGTAGCATTGGAAAATTTGAACAGTAGCCCTAAAAAATATAAGAACACGCTTTTGGTATTTTACCGAGTAAAAATCGCTTTTAAGTCTGAAAAATAGGTGCAGCTGCGCCGCGCCAGTCGGATACTAAAAAGCATATACCCATGTGATGCCAGAAGCTAACCTAACCACTGAAGAAGCGAACTAACCATGGTTAATTTTCCTCGTTCAACACCTCCTTGAGATTGTGCCACGTGTCCCACCATGGACGGTCTGGATTGCCTCCTCGACGGATAATACCCTTTACTCGGTTCTATATAAATCCAGCGCCACGCCGTACTAAAACCCTAACTTTGGAGTGCGACAAAATTGTGAGCGAAGAAAAATTCAGAAGCCATGACGAATCCCAAGGTCTTTTTCGATATGACCGTCGGTGGCAATTCCGTCGGCCGGATCGTTATGGAGCTGTTCGCCGACGTTGTTCCGAAAACCGCTGAGAATTTCCGTGCGCTCTGCACCGGGGAGAAAGGAGTCGGAGCCAAATCCGGCAAGCCTCTCCACTACAAAGGATCCTCCTTCCACCGCGTGATCCCTAACTTTATGTGCCAGGGAGGCGATTTCACCCACGGAAATGGCACCGGAGGTGAGTCGATCTACGGAGAGAAATTCAAGGACGAGAATTTCGTGAAGAAGCACACTGGACCTGGAGTGCTGTCCATGGCGAATGCTGGACCTGGAACCAACGGTTCGCAGTTCTTCATCTGCACGGCGAAGACGGACTGGCTTGATGGTAAGCACGTGGTGTTCGGTCAGGTTGTTGAAGGATACGACGTCGTGGAGGCCATAGAGAAGGTCGGATCCTCCAGCGGAAGGACCTCCAAGCCTGTTGTGATCGCCGACTGCGGTCAACTTTCGTAGATCTATCTCTGATTGTCTCCTATGTTATAGATCTGACAATGATCTGTGGTTTGATTTCCTGCTTTTTCTTATTCTATCGTCGTCGTCGTCGTCGTCGTCGTCTTCGTCTTGTGTTGCGATTAGTCTTCTGAGAGGTGGTATCGTCATCATCGTGTGTCTTTTTTATTGGACTATCGTTTTAATCATCCTGCTGCCTTTCCTATCCTAATAAGAGACTTTGTTTTCATTTCGTGTTTTTTTCTATGTGCGATCTTCTTCACTTATCTCATTTCCTCTGATCTGATCTGAGATGATACTCATGAAATCGTTGCTGTTCTGTTTAGATTCATTGTTTTACTTTTGAATAGTTGCTGCTTATATTCAATCAATCGAACGGTTCATTTGGGGAATTGGTGAGATTCCAATCTGGCAATATCATAATCCTGCCTGCCTGCTGCTCAAATCCATCCATATGTCCTTGTTTGTTCTTCTGCGGATTCATGAACTACACTACTACTTACTACTGATATTGAATTCATTTGAATTGTTGTGCATTTCATTTGTTAATTATGATTTGGGGAACTGGTGATTAATTAATTGTGGGTCGGTCGATACATCCCATGAAGTATGTGGCGCAGCGCAGCGCAGAGTCTACTTTGGGGCGCAGATATTTATTCTGGGTCATATTTTTCTTCCACTTTTGCCCCTGTGGACACTTGAAAATGTCAGTGAGCCCCTTTATTTTAGGACGAGTGGTGTTTTTTTTTAGTATTTTTATTATTTGTTTTATTTTTGAGCGAGTGGTTGGAGCGGTGGAGGCGAGTCAGCTTTTTGGGAAAGCATTTTTCTATGGCCTTTAATTTTACTTTACCACAATTTCTGGAAATTTCTTCATTTTCTTGTCACGTTTTTTTATTTTTTATTTTTAGTTTTTAATTTAAAACGGTTCTAGATTTATCCAAACAGCATTCATTCTATGTATTTTATTATTATTATTTTTTTGTCTTCTGTTAAATTTATGTAAATTTTATTCATCCATTTATTTTTTTGGTGTGATATTTGGATATTAATTATTATATTAAAATGTATTACAAATTAATAAAAAATTGTAAAAATATTTTTATTCGTGTTTTATAATACTAATATAATGATATTTGTATAAAAAAATTTTGACGTTAATTTTTTGTCCAGAAATTGATATATTTTTGTATAAAATTACTAAAATATTCTACCGACTAACTAAATTTAAAATTAATTTCAAATTTATAATACAATTAATCGACTAAATTTAAAATTGATTCCAAATTTATAATACAATTAATCCACTGGAGATGGAGACGAAATTACACTTCATTCTCGACGAAGAATTGGAAACGAAGAAAAAGGAAAAAAGAATTGGAAAAAAAAGAAATAAAAATAGAAAAAAATAATAATAATCGAGAAAAAAAAGAAAAGAAAGAACTAAAAAAAGAAAAAAATAATAATAATTGAGGACAAATTTAGAGAGGGTGAAAAGTTTGTAATATTTTGAAAATCACAAGTAAATTTTTAATAATTTTAGAATTATGAGAAATTTTCAGCGAATTCGTAAAATTATAGAATTTTTTTGTTATTTTGCCTTATTGTTTTTACTTATTTTATTATTTTTTATCATTAAAATTTATATAATTACTTTTTTTATTGTCATAGAAAATTAAAATAATGATTTTTTTTTTTAAAAAAAGTAGTATATTATTTTATTTTATTTTTTTGTACTTTCATTTAAATTTTTATTATAATTTTATGACGTAGAATATTTTTTATTAATTCTTTTGTAAATATTTTATAGATAGATAATATTATTTTATTTATCTAAATTTTATTTTTAACTTTAATTATGAGTGATATAATAATAACAATTTTTTGTCTCATATTATGAAATGTTATTTGATTTGTTTTTTTTAAAAAATTACATACTATTAAAAGTAATAATATAATGATAACAATATGAATATTTATAAAAAATAATAATAAAATACGAAAAAAGAAAATAATTAAATCTAAAATTAGAGGAATATTTTGTGACTGGACTTGAAGTACAATTTTATTTGATATTTGATTAATAAAAAATATTATATTAATTAATCATAGATTATGGAGTATAATTTATTAAAATACTCTTAGCAATATAATTTTTTTAACCTGTAACTTTATTTTTGTAGATTTGTCGTACATTTTTCTATTTTCGCAGGGTAAATTATTTTCATATCATATTTTTAATTTTGCAGAATTAATTATTTTTAATCATACTTTTTATCTTTGAAGATTAAATAATATCTTTTCTATATTTGATTTAATATAATTTTTTAAATTTACAAATTAAACTCAATATTTGTCTATTTTTACACATTTAGTTTATAATAATATTTTATATTAATATTTCAAATATTATACGGATAAATAGTATTTATTATTTTTATTGTTTGATCATAAAAAAGTATATATATTTAAATTAAATAAATTAAAACTTTAATATCATTAAAATATTTATATTAAATATAAATAAAATATTAACAATATTATTTGATTAAAATTAATATTAATTAATTCAAATTTAATATAAAAAATTATAATTATTTTATCATAATTAATTAAATATAAATCTCAATAAAAATTAAATAAATAAATAATTTACTATAAATATCAATTATAAAATTATAATATAAATAGATTATTTTATAAATAATAAAATAAAAATAATAAAAAATAAAATAAAGGTGACAAAAACATAAATTTAAAACAAATCTTAAAAAACCAAAAGGTTTATAAATAGAATAGAAATATAATTTATAACTAAAGTAAATATAAAAATAAAATAAAAAAGTATTTAGCCGACCAACATGATCTTCAATATATATATTTTATTATTTTAAAAATATCAATATTTAATATAAAATATTATTTTTTATATTAACGATTTTCTATACCTCAAATCAAAACATGAAGATCAAATCAAAACACTAAACAAACAAACCCTAAAAATAGCATCCTCTTAAACGAGAAGGTGGTACAAGAGGATGAAATCTTCGTATTAGCAGGATGTGTTGGAACAATTTTTTGCTCATCATCCTCCAAAAATAGAAAAAAAATAGGTTGCCTGTCAGGAGCCTACGACCTGGCCTGCACAAAGCCTCGTCTAATATGATCTATTTATTAAAAAGGTCAAGTTTAGATTTTTATTAAAGTATCTTTATTTAAATAGAGTAGGCTTAGGCTTACAAAAAAAAAAACTTTTTTATCAAAGAAGCCGGCTTGTTTAATAATAATAATATTATTATTATAAAATAAATATTTTCTCTTTATTATTAATTAAGAATAGTATTATATCTAACAATGATATATAAAAATATAATAATATTTTTTTTAAAAAAAAAATAATTATAAATTTATCATAAAAAAACAAAAATAAAAACAATTTTTATCCTAATTTAAAATTTCAATATATGAACGGTTGTTGCACACATATTGCTTCCCCCTACAATTTCTCTGTTTTATTTACCCTAATTGAAATAGTCTCAATTCTTGTGCGTGATGGAGCTATGTTATTAAATTCTAAATATTTTTTGGAATTTTTCAATATTACTTTTTAGTTAATTGTTGTGTGTCTTCTTTGTGAAAATAATCAACTCAATGAAAATAAATTAATGTAAAATACATATTTTTTTAATGTCATTATGCAGTGATCTCTATTAACTTTCATTTGGTGTATGCAGATTTGCAATTCTAAAGAATAATTTTTTTTATTTTTTTTTAATTTTTTATGAATTGTAATATATATATATATATTTGCAAACTATTACTATTATATATTTTACTTAGGACAAACTAAAATTATTATTTTTGTCATTGAAAAAACATAATTTTAATTTTTTTATATATATAATGTAAATAATTATATCTTTCTTTTTTTTTTTTTTTTGTTATAATACTAAATTTACAAAAACATAATAAAAAGTTATTATGTAGCCTTTTAAACAGGTAGGCCAGACCAGGCTTTTAAAAAGGCCAGACTTAGACTTTTAAAATATTTTTTTTTCAGGCTTTAGGCCATGCTTAGGCTATATATTTTTAAAACAGGCCAAATCTATTTAGCCAAAGCCTGGCGTGGCCTGGCCTATTTCCACCCCTCGTCTTAACACACTTTACACCCAATAAATGAAGTATATAGTTTCGTCCCGTAAGGGGTAGTCTGATGGTGTAGAGGTTAAACTTGTGACCATGAGATCATGGGTTCAAACCCCCGACCGGAATTATTATAGGAGTACTTTATTTATAATAAAATAAAAAGGATAATTTTGAATGGAAGAATATAGTCAATTTTAATCATTTTTTTTACTTTAAATATATATTATATCTTATAAACACGAGTTTGTACGGATCTGCCACTTGAAAAGTCTATCCTGCCCCTCATTTCGAAAATGATAATTTAGTCCTTAACCTATCTTTGTACTGGCTTGAAAAGACGAGGTTGTACGGATCAGTCATTTGAAAAGTCTATCCTGCCCCTCATTTCGAAAATGACAATTGAGCCCTTAATCTACCTTTGTACTGGTTTGAAAAGACGTTTTGGAACCGTCGCCAGCAACCACCGTCAACCGTCCAAGACGAAACATTTTGAAACATCGTCTAGTCGGTTACATCAACCGCCTCGCCAAATGCCTCCACCAGTTCCAGAACTCAAATAGTCCAATCGACCAATCCAGAGACCAATCGCTACACCAAAAGACTTCTCGGCCGCACCAACCAAGCGACCTGTCTATCCGCCTGCGGACCAGCTGACTTGCCTATCCGACCGCAAACCAACCGACCTACTTTATCCGACCGCAGACCATCAGACCTATCTGTCCGACCTGCTGACCATCAGACCTGTCTGTCCAACCGCTAACCATCCGATCGAGTACCAACCGACCATACCAACCGACCGAGGACCAACCGAGGATCTTCCGACCTGCCTATCCGACTGCTAAACTAACGCACCTGACCATCCGACCGAGGACCAACCAACCTGACCAACCGACCTGAGCGCAAATTTTTTTCCTTTTCCACCCGATGTGATTGAGAGGGAAATATATATTTAATTTTTTTATTTGGACGATGTAAAGGGATAAAGTGTGGGGTAGAGATTAAGTATAATTAATTATTTCCTATTTTGAAAATATTGTAGAGCGTTTGGAACATACCAAGAAGGAAATGTTGCCGGGTGTTTAGGAC